GGAGGGGAGGATGTGAGCTGTGGAGTGAGGCTGCCTGGCCTGGAGTCCCAAGTCTACCTCCAGCTGTGGGCACGTCCTTGACCTCGCTTTTCTCTTCTGTAAGATGGGTCTAATAAGAGTACCTACCTGTAGCGCTGTTGTAAGAATGAAAGGAGTTAATGCCTACAAAGTGTCCGGAACAGCGCCTGGCAGGCAGTAAGGGATTTAATAAACATTAGCTATTGTGTCTTAATTCCACAGAAGACATGGTTTTAGAGAATGAGTTTCACGGAGCTCAGGTTGGCATTTTCCCCTCTCGCTCAAAAGCAATGATTACGACATCATAGCGCTTGGTGTTCTGTGAACACCACCAGGCCTGAGCTCAGCAACCTCCTTCCAGGAGCTGGGGTAAAGGAGTGATAATTAAAACTCCGAGCTACCTAATGTAGTGAGAACTTCATGACAGTCAGTACTTTTGTTTTTCCAAGGCGGGGCCCTCGTGGTCTAATCCCGTATCTCCCAAATTCCATCAGTCTGGGAATTCACAATCATCACAAGGTTAGAATCAGGGTTTTACAGAATCATGATCCAAGACCGAAAGGGACTTGAGTGATCAGCCAACTGTAGTGCCCTGATTTTAGCCACCACAGGCAGGAGGTGTGACGGGGAGGGGCAGTGGTCAGTAAACCGCTTATCCATGACCAGGAGGTTTATGTGAGACCAGACCTACTGCCAGCCTCCTCACCACCACCCCCACTTCTGGAACCCTGATCTGGAACCCTGATCTCTTCTGCACTTTGCTATACCTGGTAGTGTTATGTACACATCTGACCTTCAATAAATAGTCCTCGGGTAAGTGAAAAAGGCAGCCAGCCTTAAATATTGCTCTCATTCTCTCGCTCTCATTCATTCATTCATTCTCTCTCTTTCTTTCTTAGGCTCCATGCCCAATGTGGGGTTTGATCTCACCACCCTGAGATCAAGAGTTGCATGATCTACCGACTGAACCAGCCAGGTGCCCCTTCAATATTTGTTTCAATAGCATTTAGGGGGTTCCTTTTGTGATTTTTTTTGGAAGGGGGAAATGGGTTATCCTCTCAAACACTCATCTTTCCCTCCAACTTAATTCCCAATATACATTCCAGTGTGCATCCAGGAGAAAAAAAAAAAAAAAAACCTCCCTTCTGAAGTTTTCACTACCTTCCTTTTTAAAATATCACCTTCCAGTATCATTTTAAGAAGTCATATCCTCTATTGGTTCATTTTTTTTCTCTTCTATATCTAATATAAGATATTCATAGAATCAGAGCGATTACACAAATCATAAATTGTCAGTTCAGTTCCCTCCTCAGCCTGAACTGGGCAGGGCAGTTTGGCCTCAGCCTCGCAAGGGAATTTACGCGATGATGATGTGATGATGAAGAGATGAGGATGTGATGACGCTGAAGAAAGAGGAGGAGGAGCTCTTCTTTTTCTTTCTGCTCCAGTCCTCCTGCATTCTCTGTGAAGCCTAGTCCAGCCCTTCCTCCAGACTAAAATTCCGTTCTCCCTTTAAAAATTGTTGTAGCATTTTATTGTGGCTGTTATTACACATTATCAATCACTTGTAACTTCTTAATTGTATTTAGTTATGTAAGTAATATAGAAATTAATTCAAATTGTAAAATTTCAAATGTTGTAACAATGGTTACAGATGGGTGTGAATAATTGTATGACTAAACTCTTCCTTGACAATTCCTCCAGTTCTTGTCTCTTTGTGTCTTTACATCCTTCCTGTCTGTTTATGTATGCGTTTTTGCTTACAGACAGGCGTAATATTATTTTGTTTTTACATAAATAGTACCATACAATATGTATTGTTCTGCAATTACTTTTTTCTTTTTTAAGATTTTATTTATTTATTCGTGAGAGACAGAGAGAGAGAGAGAGGCAGAGACACAGGCAGAGGGAGAATCTGGCTCCATGCAGGGAGCCCGTTGTGGGACTCGATCCCGGGGTCTCCAGGATCAGGCCCCTCGGCTGAAGGCGGCGCTAAACCACTGTGCCACCCAGGCTGCGCCTGCAATTACTTTTTTCATTAATAATATGTCTTGGTGACTTTTCTCTCTTAGTATATATGGACTTATTCATTCTTTTTAACTCTTGCCTAGTTATCCAGGAGGCAGATGTACCAAATTTTATTTAGCCATTCCCTATGCCTGCCATTAAGTGGCTTTCAGTTTCAAAATTACCAAAAACCCTGCAATGGGAGAGAATTACATAATCTGTGCACACGTGTGCCTGCTTCTCTAGGATACATACCAAGAAGTGGAATGGCTGGGTCACAGAATGTGCACATCACTAATTTTAACACTGTCAAACTGCCCTCCAAGTTGGCTGTACTACTAATTTACACACCTGTTAGCAGTGTAAGAAAGAACCCAGTTTCCCACTTCACTTGCCAAGATTAATCACTTTTTACCTTCCTTACCTGCATATACATTTTATTGCCTAGGCTTGGGATGTAAGCTCTCCGAGAGCAGGCTCCCTGACTTCCCATATGCGCATTTCGTCCCCCAATCAGAGGTGTTTAATAATTGGTTCTCAGTAAATGCTTCTAGAGTGATCTCCAACCACAAGTTCTCTGCTCATGTCTGTGCAAAGGAAAGCATTTATCCACAGTGCATCTTTGAGGTTATTTCTTAAGAATGAAAAACAGTTTTTAAAAAGTCGGTTGGAGTTTTGTACACCCTTCCCCCTGGACAAGTTACAGATATCTTTCATTTAAAGTTGCCTGCCGGGATCCCTGGGTGGCGCAGCGGTTTGGCGCCTGCCTTTGGCCCAGGGCGTGATCCTGGAGACCCTGGATCGAATCCCACGTCGGGCTCCCGGTGCATGGAGCCTGCTTCTCCCTCTGCCTGTGTCTCTGCCTCTCTCTCTCTCTGTGACTATCATAAAAAAAAAAAAAAAAAAAAAAAAAAAAAAAAATTGCCTGCCTAAAACAGGCTGGCAGGAGGCAGTGAAAACAGACCTGGCTGTCTCAGACAATAGCTAGCAGGGTGTCCCACCCACTGGGAAAAGCCTCAGAATCCCTGGGAACTAGACAGAAGATGGGATGGGGAGGGAGTAAGGTCAGACTCTTTGGAACATTCTGGATCCTAGGAGGGAAATTCTTTTACAGAGTTTTGAAATAGAGGAAGCCATTAATAATGTCCAAAGCACAGCAATACATGAATCCAGGTGAGGAAGACCTGTGACAGGCCAGCAGAAACGGCATGGAGAACCGGAGATATATCTCTATCTCTATTTATATACAATTTGGATCCAGGAAAGGGAAGTTTTAAAGGTGTGAACTACTACTGGATGCAAGATAAACTTTTCCTCCGGGCAGAGCCTATATTTATTTATATGATAATCTTGGGTTAGCGAGGTTCTACGAATGCATGAGCGTGGTTCCAAATCTTGCCGTTTGGAATGCTCATTTGGAAAAAAAAAGGGGGGGGAGTTTTCCAAAGGGGTAAGAGATAACTTTCAGTCACATATGAACGAATCGAGAATTCGTGTCGCCAAGTAAGAAACAGCACACACCGCGGCGCACTTCGCCCTGGATCAGCGTTGCTACTTGTCGCCTCCCGAACCGCTCACACAGCGCCCGCGCGGCGCAGGGAGGGTGCAGGGAGGGTGCGCGGGCCTTGGACGCGGGCGCACACGGGAGAAGCGAGGAGACCGCGCCAGGGCGGGCTGAGCGCCTCCAGGGCATCGAGCCCCCTCCGCGGCGGGGCGGGAACGCGGGGACCCCCCATTCCCGTCGGGGTGCAGCGCCGCAGACGCAGCGGGACCCGCGCTTTGGCTTCTTCTGGCCCCTCCACTCCTCGCCCGCGTGGGGCGGCTGCCACCGGAGCCCTGCAGGGACCGGGCGGCGCCAAGCCCGCCGTGGTGGCCGCTGCAGGAGGAGGCGCCCTGGGCCCCTCCGGGGCTCGGTGCCCTTTGGCCATTGTTGGGAGGAACAAAGAGGGCAGGTGCGGAGGGCGCCCCCGCGCGGCGAGGCGGGGAAGGGCACCGCGGGGCGCGAGGCCCGGGCGCGGCCGGCGCGGGGCTGGGGGACCGGGCCGGGGCCGGGGCCGGGCCCGGGGCGGAGGGAGCGGCCGCGCCGGGGGGCAGGGCCGGTGCCGCCCGCCGCGCCCGCGCGCCCCGCTCGCCGTCCCGCGCCCGCCGCCGCCCCTTCCTCCGCCGCGGCCCCCTGACTTGTGTCCCCCCCTCCCCCCTTTTTTTTCTGAATTATCATTCTTATTCTAGATCTTTTTCCCGCGCAAAGCGGGAAGCCGGGGCTGCGCGAGCGAGCGGCGGAGGGGCCGCCATTTCCCGGGGAAAGCGCAGCGCGCGGCGGCCCCGGGCGCCCCGGAAAGGGAACCGGAGGGGAGTGCCCGGCCCCGAGCCCTCCTCCGCGCCGGCCGGGAGCTCACGGGGCTCGCGGGGCTCCCCGGCCTCGCCCCCGCCGCGGCGCCCCGGGCCTGACCTTCCGCGGCGCCCCCCGCCCCCGGCCTCGCCCGCGCCCGCGCCCCCGCCCCGCGGCCCGCGCCCCTTCCATTGTCAGCCCGGAGCGGCCCGGCGCCCGGCCCCGCAGCCCCGGAGGCCCCCCGCCGCCCGGAGCGGGGGCCCCCCGGCGGCCCGGCGCCTCCGTCCTCCGCCCGCCCCGGGCCGGCCTCGCCGCGGCCCCGCACCCCGCCGCCCCCTCCGGCTCCCCGGGCCGCCCCCGCTCCTCGCCGGCCGCGCCAGTTACCGCCGCCCGCGCCGCCCGCGCCGCCCCGGCCTTTCTTTCGCGGGGAAGCAAGTTGGGCAGCTTGAGGCATGAATTCCTTCCCGCTCCCTCCGCGGGGAGGCTCGGCTGCCGGGGCGCGCCGGGGGCCGGGGGCCGGGGGCCGGGGGCCGGGCGGCGGGACGGCCGGGGGGTCGCTGCGGCCCGCGCGCTGCCCCCGCGGCGCGCTCCGTCTGCGGACCCCGGAGCCCCCCGAACAATGATGCGGTCGCCATGGCGGGCTCACCTGGTGCTGCGCCGCCGGCTCGGGCGCCCGGTGCCCTCGGCGCGCCGCTCCCCGGGCGCAGGTCGGGCCCGCGCGCGCCGCCGCCGCCGCCGCCGCCGCCGCCGCCGGGCAGGACTCTTTGCCTTTCTTTGGGCTCTACGGGCGCTTGTCAATGGCGGCAAGCGGCAGTCCTCGGGCCGCGGATGGCAGCGGGGGGAGGAGGCGGAGGGAGAAGGGATTGCTCCTTCTCCACATAACCACCTCTAGGAGGAGTCGCTCAGCCTCTTCCCCCGCCAGCCCAGGCTCCGCGACGGTCCGCGGCTCTCGCTGGGGCTTGATGAGCTATTGTCCTCCAGCGGCGCTAATGAGGGAACCGCGCGGCCCCCGCGTCGCGGGCGGACCTGCCGGCTGCGCCGCGGGGCCGCAGGGAGGAGGCCTCCCCCGGGGCCGGGGACACACGCCCCACGGTCACCATCCCGAGGCTCCCGACAGCAGCAGCCACCTCGGGTGCAAGGGGACGGCGTGGGCGCCGCGGGGCAGTGCGGGGAGCGCCTTCGGAGGTGAAAGCCCAGCCGGCCCCGTTCCTTGGGCTCGTGTCCTCAGACCATCCCACATACTGCACACGAACGCGCGTGTCGATCCCTGGGGCTGTTGCACAAGAGTGGCCGCAGCCACGACTACTGAGAATGTGCATCCCTGCCTGTTGGGGTGGTCTTTCTCTTTTTCTTTTTTTTTTGAAATAAATCAAGACCCATTTAGATTCCAGCATCGCATGATATTTGGAGCAGCAGTTGTACGTTTCGGTGGGGGAGACTGTGCGCAGGCATCCTGTTTAATTCGCTTGCTTTACGGTGTGTTAATTTGCAACATCCAAGCAGGTAGTAAGAGGAGGAGCACGAGGCTATTGTCTTAAGGACCAAATGTTATCAGTTTGCAGGAAATGTGTTTTTATGGGGATGTGGTGGACGGTTATCAGGCGTGATCATATGGATTAGTAGTTGTTCTACTGGAAGCCAGTGCTATCCTTTGTACCTGGAGATGTTGTGTGTGTGTGTGGGGGGGGGAGGGGGGTGTTCCATGGCTGGGGGTGAGTCAAAGGAATGTGTTTATTGTAGGGAGAGATGTTCACTTGCTGTGGACCATCCATGCTCCTTCTGATTTCTCCCTGATGAGTCAGAGGATCGTGAAGAGGCAAAATTTGGACCTCTTCAAAAAAGAGAAACCCACAGGAAAACACAGTTCTCCAGCATGGGTCAAGTGGGTGCTTTTCAAAGCCTTTTCCATTTGGTGATATTGTGTACATACACCCCTATAAACTTGTAAGCGTTTAGGCAGTGAGGAATATTGGGGTGGCTGAGAGCCTCCAATTGCCTGAGTGGGAAAGAACCCAAACGGCCAACTGCCTTCTGGATTTACGCTAGTCAGTCGGGGCTGCTGATGGAATTATTGGGTAGCGCTTTAGAACATACGCTTTTAAAACAAGTGTTTTGCTGAGAAATCTGTTGACTTCCCACAAGATTGTGCATGTATCCTAAAGGTATAAACACATCTCCATTTGTTTAGATCTCCTATGGTTCCTCAAGCTCTCCTGGACACAATGGTCTCAGTGTATTTATTGGGACTTCATTTCCTCTTCTTCCTACGTTTTTACCCTCTCTGTGTTATGACCTCACTGTTCTTTGTCTTTGAAGGTACTCTCCAGGTCAGAAACCTAGTCAGGATAAAGTCCTCTTTGCCCAAGACATATATTTAAAGGGTTTCAAATGATCCCGTGGGGCATCTCAAATGGTTTCGATTTTCCCGTTCTAGAGGAAGTGCCTATCTCCCTCCTTATTATAGATTTCTGGTGTCCATTCTTGATCAGAAATAACCTTCAGGCCAACATTCAAAAGGGTTCAGGAGCCTTCTGGGAGTGCTTGAAAAATACTCCTACCCTGTGACCCACTCAGCCAGGCTGACTGAGATATAGTTGAATAATTCATCAATATATATTAGATTCACATTCTCCCTGTAACTTTGCAATAAAAATGGTACACGTGGTCATTTTTATGTGCATTTTATGTAACTCATTTCATCCTCGCATTTTGTTACGTGCTTTCCTGAGAAAGGCTGGTCTAAGAATTTACTGGTCAGCATTCTCCCATTTCCTACCAGTTGTTTTCTTCCATTAGATGATATAGTCACAATTCAGAGTCAAGGAGGGTGTGTGTGTGTGTCAGCTTCATAAGGCCCTTGTTCCTTGAATAGAAGGGATCATGGGGCACTTGGGTGGCTTAGTAGTTGAGCGTCTGCCTTTGGCTCAGGTCATGATCCCAGGGTCCTGGGATCGAGTCCTGCATCAGGCTCCCTTTAGGGAGCCTGCTTATTCCTCTGCTTATGTCTCTGCCTCTCTTTCTGTGTCTCTCGTGAGTAAAGAAATAAAGCCTTTTTCTTTTTCTTTTTTTTTTTTTTTTTAAAAAAGGGATCACAGTGTTCTATTATAGGAAGGAATTTGATATTCAGGTGGGTCGGGTGACTTGTCATGGCCACATGGGTGAAACTCCAGGGTACTTCCGGATACCCAGCCTAAAGCAGTTTTCCTCAATTCCAAACTTCAGAGGATATATAGGGAACAAATCAGCAACCTAATATGCAGATCTAGTTAAATTGTATATATTTATTATTGGACATTTGACACATGAGAATTTACCCCGGATAATATTGTGTAGTTAAAATACATTTAAAATAGTCAACATAATTATAAATTCATCAGTAATCGTGAGTTCTGCAGTGGCTTCCTGCCCAGGGAATCTGAGGCAAGGGGAATAATAGATAGTAATAATGAGAGTTTACACTTACTGAATTTTTCCAGAGTGTCCCATATTTTTACCCTTACTGACTCACTTAGTCCTCACAACCACTCTTTCGGTTGGGCACTATTTTCTTCTCTGTATGAGTGGAGAAACTGAGTCAGAGCGTGGATTTGAAACTTGCCTGCAGTTATGGAGTTAGGAAGTGGCCATTTCATGTTCTTAATTCCCATGCTAATCTGGTGGTAGGGGTGTGTGCATTCACTTTAACCAAAGAACTTTTGTGATTGGTCACAGGATGGAAAGTCCCTTGACCATTCCCAATACACATTCTCAAGGAATCAGCGAAAAGCCTAATTATAGGAGTTTTGGTTGATCACCGCTGCCCTGAAAACATTTTCCTAACCTTTAACCTGTATGTGTGGATAACATTATGAATAAATGCATTGATTGTGAATTAACTCCATCAGCGATAAGGATGTCTAGCAAACATTTTATTGAGATGCAGGGTGAACTGCTTCTCCACGTAGGGATAGGCATGTAGCATGATTTAGAGATGAAAGAAAAAAAGAGAACCAGTCATGCAACTAGATTCACATTCTATGGAGTCTACTAGTCATTTGTTCACAAAATCATCTATTTTAAAATGGCTACACTGATTTTGGCCCCTCAAATGATTTTATTTTCTCATAATCCCAATTTATGATGTTATGATGTTGTGTGAATCGAGTGGGTTTTTTTTTTTTTACATGATTTGTTCTTTTTTTTTTTTTAAGATTTTATTTACTTATTTATTCATGAGAGACACAGAGAGAAAGGCAGAAACACAGGCAGAGGGAGAAGCAGGCTCCACGCATGGAGCCTGATGTGGGACTCGATCCCAGGACTCCAGGATCACGCCCTGGGCCAAAGGTAGGCGCCACACCGCTGAGCCACTCAGGTGTCCCTACATGATTTGTTCTAATCTATTTCATGACACCTATTATAATTTGTGATCATTTTACCCTTCTGAGATCTTGGTATGCGATTACCCTATTAATGTCCTGACCCTCGCCTCTTCCAGAAGGACTGTATCGTGTGTGTATATATTTATATCTGGTCTACGTGAGTGCATGTATATTATGTGTATGAGATTTATATATCCAGATTAAATTCATTTGAGAATTTCTGATCTCCTTTGAAGTAACTTGAGATCCCCTGAGAGTGTCATAAAAACAGATGGAAATCATTGGTTTAAGCTCTTCTTTGAATGTAAGTTAGCCAATTCTAGATGCTGTATTAATTCTGTCAAGGCACCAACTGGCATAACTCGAAATAGCAACTCAGAGGCCTGAGGTTATGAGTGCAGACAAAGCACCAGGCTAAAAAGTTCCCCACCATTCTAGGAAACAAACACAGCTTTTAAATTACCCTATAGCCTGAAAAATACCAGGCAATCTAACTTAAAATTTTTTATTAGCTAGAAATATGCAAAATTTTCCCTGGTGTTATATTTTGAAAAGTGAACATTTGATTAACACTTAATTAAACATTTGATTTCCTTAATCAAAACTGGTGGCTTTAGGATCTTACTCACTTATGAAAGGGAATGAGGTCTTTAAAGAAACACATAGGCACTTATTATGCCAACAAAGCCTGAATAGCTCTGGTTAAAATGAACATCTTCATCTAACAAAAGAAACATCTTTATAGTCCAGGTTTTTAAAAACAACAACAGAATATATCTTTTTTGATACTAAACCCTGACCATTTGGTTCTGGGAAAGGGGGATGTACATGAGTGAGTATGTGTGTATGTGTAGATGAATATCTATATTCATCTGTATATACATCTATATATAGATTTATAAACATTTAGGGTGTGTGTTCCATGTGGATATGTTATGAGATAGGTCGAGACTGATACTGCAGTAGGCTCAGAATTAAGGGCAATTTGGAATTTATTTATTTATTTGTTTATTCATTCATTCATTCATGATACAGAGAGAGAGAGGCAGAGACACAGGTCAGAGGGAGAAGCAGGCTCCATGCAGGGAGCCTGATGTGGGATTCGATCCCGGGTCTCCAGGATCGCGCCCTGGGCCAAAGGCAGGCGCTAAACCGCTGCGCCACCCAGGGATCCCTGATTTGGATTTTGAAGGAATCTACCAAACGTTTAGCATTTAACCGATCTGATGATGAACTACGCTGTAAAAAATTAAATGTTGCAGGTTTTTAAGAGAAATATATCACCAACCCCAATTATGCAAAGTTGTGGTTAGGAAGATAAGGCGCGAAGGTGTCATTATTAATGGAAACAAAACCCGGAGCTAAGGGGAGTGTGCCAGTTGGTGTCTTGCTCTGTTCAGTGCCAGAGCTCTCTGGGAGATCATCCCGTTACCTCCAGGCAGAGCTCTTTGCCACAATTGTGATAGGAAATGGCAGCATGCATCTACAGGGATTGGACCTTAGCATCTGTGTTGGGAGATCCGTGCAATGTGGCCTCACACCCAAACAAAATTGCTCTTTACAATTTAGA